AAGTCTATTTCACAAAAGACTACATGCCATGCTGTATGATTGATTCCACTTACGTTCAAGAACAGGTAAAACCCATCTACGATGACAGAACTCACATCTATGATGATGTAAGAAAGAATAACAATTCCTTCAGGGTTCAGGGGGGGAAACACAGACAAGACAAGGGCACAGGAACCTTCTGCAGTACTGAAAATGTTTATTTCTTCATCTGAGAGCTTACATACATGAGCTCACGCTTAATATTAGCACTTCACACATTTTACTGCATGCTATACCTGAAGTTAAAAAAAAAAATCCTCATCTTATGGAGTCCAAGTTTACGCTCTTAACCACTAGGTCAGAACCCAGCCACATGCTAGAATTGATTGCCTTGGATTATCAATTTTTTCAAAGATTCTGCTAAGCAACATACATATCCTACTCATATCAGAATGAAGACACCTGAACCATCCGTTTTAAAATGCCACAGAATGAAAAGTAGAAAGTATCAATTTCCTGGCTACTGGGAATTCCCTACCCCCCATAGCCACATCTGAAACTTTTTAAATTTAACCCTGCTAAAAAGAAACCTTTATAGCTGCACAGAAAATAATGTGTAACACATTCTTAAGGTTATATATGAAAATACCTAAAGCTAAAATTACACAAGATACATGTTATGACTAACTCTCAAAAGACATCTGAATTTTGTTACAAAAATTAAGACAAGGTAAGAAGACAAAGCTGGTTGGCAAAGGTCCTTACTCACAGGGCAACACACAGAGAGGGCAAAATCTCAACTCTTAAAATTTGTAACAAATAGAAAACTCAGAACATTTTGGGAGGCCGAGGCAGGGAGATCACAAGGCCAGGAGTTGGAGACCAGCCTGATCAACACAGTGAAATCCCATCTCTACTAAAAATACAAAAAAAAAAAAAAAAATTATCTGAGCATGGTGGCGTGTGCCTGTAGTCCCAGCTACTTAGGAGGCTGAGGCAGAAGAATCACTTGAACCCGTGAGGCAGAGGTTGCAGTGAGTCTAGTAGCTGAGATTGTGCTACTAGACCCTAGCCTGAGCAACAGAGTAAGACTCCATTTCAAAAAAAAAAAGAAAGACCTAATGTTCCTATGGTTCTAAGTATGTGTTCTTAGTAAGGCATAGATACATATACACACACAAAAAAACTCAGTATAAGTAACTTTTTCCAGCAGCAAAGTAATTGTGCCACATAAGCCCTAATAATAAATTCTCCATCAAGTAACAAGTTCTCCTTGCTGAAGCTTTTTGTTCAGCCTGGCAAAGCCTCCTCACCAGTTGAGTAATGATGAAATCATTACATCAATTCTCCCAAAACCTTACCCCACACATACATATACCTCTTAGTCAAACAGTAATTGCCTCTCCAGAGAGAGGCATGTATTCATTCTACAATTTGCAGACATATTTGACAGGTATCTAGGAACAGCAATCCCACCTTAGAGAGCAGAGAAAAAGACAGTTGGGTTGACACCTTTTGGGTACTTGTGCTGTTTTCTTTACTGGATGCAGCCAGGAAACATTTACACTTCAGAGTCTAGATTAATTCATGTTTTAACATTCTGTACACACCAAAAATACCAAGCCATGGAATGACTTTAGTTTCCCCTTGGGCATTTACATAAAAGACCAAAAGGCCTTTATGAAAATCTTTCAGTATTGGTAATGTATGTATCACCATCAGGCATGCTGCAATAGATTACATAACCAAGTATTAGCCTCGTTATAAGATCTCAAGATCTCAATGTTTCTAAAAGCCACCAAAGTCAATTATTAATTTTTAAAGTCTTTAACAGACTTTCCAATAAAACCAACAAAAATTATAGAAAACTAAATAGAGTCAAATACTGCATCCAATAAGCAAGTTAGAAAGAATGAAAAGCACTGACCCAGTAGGTCATGAACATTAACAGCTGTAAATCAGCATCCCTAAATTAGGATTTTCAAGACACCCCAGCATTGCTAGAAAACACTGAAAGCTAAGTTTCAAAGTTTGAGAAACAAATGATTCACCTTTTCTTTTATCCCTGCATCAGCTGAAAAAGCCCCACATATTTCTCTCCAGAATATCTTAGCTTTATACCAAAGACACCTCATGCAAAGTAAAATGATCATTTTGGGGGATCCTCATTCATTTCCTATGCATGAGTATAGTGAAAATCAACTATGAATTATCAGTTCCACTTTCCATTTTTAGCATAACTTTAGTATCTCAGAAACCTAAAACATGACTTTTCTTTAAAACAAGAAAATCCTCAAAACTACAAACCCTTCATAGTCAGCCCTTCATCGGAAGCCCAGAAAAATTTATAATTTTTGAACAACAAACAAATCATGTATATTTTCCTCAAAATACTACCTCATTCCTTAGATTTCAAGAACCTTCTATGTGCATCTGCCAAATGTGGCCGATTTCTGTCTCAGGCAGGCAAATCTAAACGGTTCCCACAGGGTTACTGTTTTTGGTAAGGGGAAGTCGATGCCAGGAGGAACTTGTATATTGATTACAGCAATGACCACCACTTATTTAGCACTTCTTAACTCTCCTCGTGCAATGCTAGGAGTTTGACAAACCTCCTATTTGCCCTCAGAAATAATCTTGTAGAACAGACACTACCATCCCAAAACCAGATATGTAAAATGAGGCTCATATGAGAAATAACTTGCCCAAGATCACTGAACTAAATGTGGCAGAACCAAGTCTAATGAATGTTAAGGGTGAAAAATGGCGAGTTTCACAGAGAATTAGGCCTTCATCATAGAAATGTCATCTGCACAAAAACTAAATGAAGAACAGTGAGTCCTTGCTGTAGGGAGAAAAAGCAATATTCCAAACTAAAAAAGTACTTTCAAACAGAAGATCTAATGATAAACACATTTGTAAAGGCTGGGCAGGGCGGGAAAGGATTACTCAAATTACTCAAGTACAGTCCTACAGGGTTCCTGCACCTCTCTGTTCTTAAAATCTCATCTGATTTAAGAGCGCATGAGCTCTGAGTAAAAGTCTCCCCAATTCCTCCAGGCTTAACAACCCTCTCTCTACTCAAAAGAAGCACTCAAAAGAACCAGGAGCAGGAGCTAGGACAGTGGGAAGTGACCTCCCTGCCCTGCCGGTCCTCCCTCCGAGTCAGCTGTCAGATCCGCATGGGTGAGACCAGGAGCCGGCACGGAGCCCCGGGACTGGCTCAGCCCGGGTCCCCGCCTTCCCACTCCCAATCCGAGCCCTGTCGGCCACCTCGTTTACCATCTCATCACCTCCAGAGGCACAAATAATTACACTGGAGAAATTTATTTTAACAAGTATAACTGTATTCACCAACTGGCTTCGCAATCACATGTTACTGTAGGGCTCCAACAAGGGAAGGGCAAAAGAATATGGTTTAATTGTTCTAAACAATCATTCTGAGAAGTTAGGGCGGCTGAGGCGGCCACGGGGGATAGAGCTCTGGCACCTGTGAGCTGAGCCCACTCAACAAACCAGCCACCCCTACGTTTGGGCAGGAGAGCGCCTCCTCGTCAACCCAGGTTATAAATGTACATATTTTTAAAGATGAGCTCCGATGTTGTGACACTTGTGGGGAGTGTCCCGACTACTCCTCCACTTAATGGGGGGACTAGGAGTTCTACGGCTCCACAGCCCCGAGTGTCAAATATCGTGGCCTGGAAATTAACCAGGTGCCTTGGTTTATTGCCTCCAGAAGGGTCCGCCTGCCGCGGTGGGGCAGCCGCCAGCCCAGCGCCCGCAGCCCGGGCAGAACCCCCACGCCCACCTTCCCACGAGGTGTTTGGCAGAGTCCGGCTTCAGGCGCTCCCTGGCCTGGCAGCACCCGCCCCACCCCCACGAATCGGGCTAGCAGCCTGGTTAATCATTCAACGCAGGCGGCGTGGAATATTCTTTTAAAGGTCAAAGCGAAAGGTTCTCCCTACGTTTGGCAGAAACCAGTTTTGGGAGAGACGGAGACAGAAGTGGTAGAGGTTGGGGGCGGGGAGCGGTTGCCGGAGGCTCCCTGGCTCACAAAACACCTGATCTCCCCATGCGGCACAGGAGGCCGGCGCAGTGCGAGGGTGGGGTGCGGGGGTGCGAGCGAGGAATCACGCGCGTCCCCCTCCCCGAAATGCCCGTGCGCCCCGGATGAAGAGGCCCGGCCCCAGATGCCCCTTCTCAAAGCCCGCATCACCCCGGCGCCGGATCCCCCGGAAGTTGGGGTGCAGAGGGGAGGGGAAAGGTCCCCGGGCCCCAGGGCGGGGTGGGCACGGAATGGGGCGCAAGGCTCCAAAGCCCCGCCGCGGGCGATGTCTTTCTCTTTCTCTGGGGTAGGGAGGGTGGCGGGGATGGCGGGAAGGTAGAGGAGGCTTAAATGCGGCAGGGACCACCTAGGGACGGCTTCCTCCACCCGGGAGCGGGTACGAGGCCGGAACCGGCGAGAAACTGGGAGGGGGGAGCAAGAGGGTCGGGAGGGTGGGGCCGGGAGTAGAGAGGCGGGAGGGGAGCGGCAGATGGGCCGGGGGGAGAGGGCAGCGGGGAGGGAGACGGCGGGGGTGCTCGAAGCCCCGGGCCCTACCTTGTCCGGGAGCAGCTCCAGCTCGGCGGGGCGGGGGCAGGGACGGGAGATCGCGGCCGCATCCACTTCCCGGCCGCTCCGCGCGGCTCAGCCCGGCGACCGCCGCCGCTCACGCTCCATGCGCGGCGCCCGGGACGGGCGGCCCGGCGGTGGGGACAGCTCCGGCTCGGCTCTGCTGGCCTCCGGCACTTGTTGCCGCCGCTGCCGCTGCGCCTCACTCCCGGCTCCTGTTCCAGGCGCAGCAGCCGCCTCCGACGCCCGGCCCCGCCCTGCCCTTTCCCGCCCGCCAATGGGGCCCGGCCCCGCCCCTTGCGTCACCGCCCGACGGCCCCGCCCCGCGCCCCAAGTTTTGGTAGGGTCCGGCTCTCCACAGCGGGCGCTGGGACCTGTTCGGGCCCGCGCTCCCGGCGGCTTCCTGGGACCCTCTGGCCCCCACGCACCCTCCTACAAAGCCGAGGGTTAAGCTCGGGAAAAGAAGCCTTTAGGAAGAAGACTCCTCCCCGGAAAAGCCCGGCAGCTCCAAACTCCGAAACACGAGTGAAACTCAACTCCAGCTACCGCCCCTCCAGCTGCGGGTGGCCCCTCTTGCGGTCCGTCTGAGGCTAGGCGACTTAGCGCGTCGCCTGGCAAGACTCCAGTGGCCTTTTCTGGCCAGTTTGTGATTGTAACTAGACGGACTCCAGCCGCCCCCTCCAGTGCTGGGGCGGGGGAGGAACGGCCAGGCCGAAGAGGCGGGAGAGAAGCCAGGGCCACCGTGGGGCCTGATCTTTGCTCCACCTCTTAGGAGCTCACGACCAGGGTGGTGCCTTGCTTGGCACTGCCACTGGATCCTCTGGCTTATGAAGCCGTCCAGGACATGAGGGATGGGAAAGTCCTTAGTTCTCCTCCTGGAGTCATACAGAGGGGTTTCCCCGAGGTCCCACGCCCGTCTCAGGAAGCCGGAAATGCAAGATGCTGGGGCGCTCGGCCCCAAGGGGCAGGGCGGATACCCAGGCGAGGCCTAAAGGGCGGGACTCCACCGCCCCCTTCGGACAATGCTGGGCTCCGCCAGCCAGAGGCGGCCATGGCGCCAACCACACCTACCAGCAGGGGCCCCCGTGACCACTGATGCGCCCTCCTAGCCCCAGGCTCCTGCGGGCTCCCCAGAGCACTGCATTCCAAAGTGACTCCGAGACGCAGCAGACACAATTCTGAGGCCCCCAGGTAAGCCTGGCGCAACGGGATGGAGGAGTTCTAGGGTTTTGAAAGGCCCAGGTCAGCCAGCAAGGCTCGCGTGCGCTCCGCGGGGAGGCAAGCCTCGCCAGGAGCGCACCTGAAAGCGACCCCGCCCCCAGGTCCTTATCGCTGCATCGAAGTCGCACCTGGACCCACCTAGATAATTGGACTGAGCAATTAATGACGCTTCACCCCCAACTGTTAGAATTTCTTCTTAAGGCTCTGGAAGGCGGAATAGCCGGAAGGGAACATTGCTAAGTAGGAATTTCAGGCACCTGCGAACTGAGCCCACTCAAGGATCAGCCCTTACTCTTAACCAAACTCGGCAAAGGAATAAAGACCAAGTTGCTGCGGATGCAGAGCCACGTGGGTACAGTCCTCTAGAAACAGGAATTCTGGGTCAGTATATCTGGAAATGTTAGGGTTTGCAGCCGTCAGACCGTCTTGCTTTTATGCCGTTCACATGATTCTCTTTGGACTGCGATGTAAAGTCCAAGAAACAAGTCGAATGTTTGCATATTCATAGAAAAAAATATCTGTAAGGGTGCACACCGACTGTTAACCACGGTTACGCGGGTAGGGGAAACAAGGGAGTTATTACTGCATTGACTTTGGGTTTTGTATTTTTCTGTTATGTTTACTTTTATAATTTAGAAAACTAATAAAACATATTTAAAGAAACAAGCTAGAAATTCTTTAAGAACTCTTTAGGAAGTTTAAATTAATAGATAAAAGAAGGCTATGTCTTTTCATTTTATATCAGAGTAATCTTGAGTCCATGTTCCTTGGTTTAAATAAAGATATCTCTAGGCTGCTGCTGTCTGTTTTTTACATGCAGTGATGAGACAAAGCCGACATCTAAGGAAGATTTTCTGTGCCATCAGGTTGGTATATTGTTTCTGTGCATATGTGTCTTCCCTTTAGATGCACTCCCTGTAGTCACAGACATGCTTGCACGGACTGCCAGCCAAGGAGTTTTTAGTAAAGGAACTGCTACAATGTCACCTGGCAGACAACTAGGAAATTAAGCTTGCTTGCAGCTGCCAAAGGCTGCCCAGGCCATAACATTTAAAAATTTTAAAAAGGGCATTTTCTGGCCACGGTGGCTCATGCCTGTAATCCTAGCACTTTGGGAGGCCGAGGCAGGCAGATCACTTGAGGTCAGGAGTTTGAGACCAGCTTGGCCACCATGGTAAAACTATGTCTCGACAAAAAATACAAAAAAATTAGCTGAGCATGGTGGCTGGCGCCTATAATCCCAGTTATCTGGGAGGCTGAGGCAGGAGAATTGCTTGAACCTGGGAGGTGGAGGTTGCAGTGAACCGAGATCCTGCCACTGCACTCCAGCCTCGGCGACAGAACAAGACTGTCTCAATAAATAAAAAAATAGATAGATAGATAGATATCCATGGTGCCTTTAATGCAGTTGGGAGTGTATCTGCAACAGTTACACTGTCTTTAGGGGAGTAACTCAATGCTAGATTCCACATCACTTGGCTATAGTCCCTACCGTTAGGTTGGGACCCAGGTCCATCATCAGTAGGCAGAGATGTGTTGGCCATCCTCTAGGTGCAGCACAGGACTAGGTGCTGGAGTGGTAAACATGGCAAACACACACTCCCTGCTTGGAGCTCACAGTCTAGAGGGAGAGAGGGGCTTAACAATTAAATGCACTATCAATCACAATTGTGAGATGGGCCAAAGGGAGTACAAAGAGGTGGAATCATCTAGGGAGTCCATGAGGAGTTCCTGGCTGATACAGACTATAAAAGAAGAAGTATTTGAGAGGGAAGTTAGAGAGGCAAGCAGGGGTTAGAGCACGCAGGGCCAGTACAGCGCATGACAGAGTTTGGAGTTCATCCTAAGACATCTAAAACAAGAGTCATACACTCAAATTGGCATTTTGAAGTATATCTTTCTAACTGCAATGTGAAGAAGGAATGGGGAGGGGGAGGAGTGGAGTGGAGGGACAGTTAGGAGGCTGTGGCTCATTTAATGTGAGAGAGAACATTTGTTTAAGCAGTAGAGTGAATACAGAGAAGTAGACTCGAACAAGACTTGGTAATTGCTTAGGGGGATGAATCAAGGAGAACTCCCAGATCTCTGCTTTCACCAGATGGATGGTGGTACCATTTTCTGAGTTGGGGAACCATTCCAAGGTTCACATTTGGTTAAAGTGGGTTTGAGGTGCCTGTGACATGTCTGGGTGGAGATGTTGAGCAGGTAGTTGGCTGTAGGGTCTCGTGCTCTGAGGAGAGGCTGGGGCTGAATTGCTGGTGTGGCAGTGGTAATGAAGTCACCAGAGGCACTTGGGCTCCTATGAGAGTGTAGAGTTAGAAGACCTAGCACTGAGGCTTGAAGAACTCTTATCTAAGGGCCTGACAGGCAAATCTCTGGCAGCGGAGGTGAAAGAGCAGCCAGAGATGCAGGAAAAAAACTAGGAGCTTGTCCAGACGCGGTGGCTCATGCCTCTAATCCTAGCACTTCAGGAGGCTGAGATGGGTGGATCATCTGAGGTCAGGAGTTTGAGAGCAGCCTGGACAACATGGTGAAACCCCGTCTCTACTAAAAAATAGCTGGGCTGGTTGTGGGCTCCTGTAATCCCAGCTACTTGTGAGGCTGAGGCAGGAGAATCGCTTGGACCCAGAAGGTAGGGGTTAAAATGAGCCAATATCACACTACTGCACTCCAGCCTGGGCAACAAGCAAAACTCCATCTTTAGAAAAAGAGAAAATTAGGAGTTTGGGGAGGTCACGGAGAACAGGGACAAAAGCACTCTAAGCAGGAGGCAGTAGTCAACATCACTCAAAATGGCTGACAAAAGTGCATGCAGTAGCACACACTTGTAGCCTCAGATACTCAGGAGACTAAGCTGGGAGGATTGCTTGAGCCCAGTTTGCGGCCAGCCTGGGCCACATAGCGAGACCCCCATCTCTTTTTTTAAAAATGGCTAAGTGACCCAAGCAAAGTGAAAATTGAATAACATCCACTAGAGTTAGTAACCTTGATGTCACTGGCACTTTTACAAAGCAGTGGCTGGTAGAGTGAAGGGATTGGGAAATAGATTGGAGTAGATGGAGGTGTAAGCAAGAGGTGAGAAATGAAAGGCACAAGGTACAGACAATTCTTGCAAGGTTTGACTGTGAAAAGTTGGAAAGAAAAGTAACTGGAGGGGAATGTTATGTCAGCAGTGGGTTTAGTTTGGCTTCTATATTTTAATTATTTTTAGGATGAAATTACTTGAGTGTATGTAAATGCAAATGGAGAAGAAAAAGATGAAGGTACAGTAGGGAAAGGACAATGGAACACAAAGGCTCCTGTGTCCATGAAAGGGATGGAACCAGAGTATAGGCAGAAAGACTGACCTCAGGCAGGGGCCAGCTTCTCTGTTATAACAGGAGGGAGGAGACTGGAGGAGGACTGAGCCAGGCTGCTTTCACAGAGGTAGGTGAATCTTTCCACCTGATGACTTCCTCTTAACTCTGTGACATAAAGGAGGCTAGGGATAGGGCAAGGAAAGATGACAGATTTGAAGAGAGTGGAGAAGGTTTGACACAGTCATTGCATAAGTTTGGGAGGGTTGCGATTACCAGAGAAACAGCCAGATTGCAAGGCAGCATGGCAGTCCACCTGGGGCTGGTGCCTGTGGACTTTAAAGGTGCCCTTTGGTCCTCCTGTGTGGTTTCTTCCTACAGCTCAGCTACCCACTGTGGTGCCAGCTCAAATGAGGAAATTACCAGGGCAGAGGAGCAAAGAAATTGAGAGCCTTGGCAACGGTGAGGCGGCACAGTGAATGACCAGAGAGGAAGGACAGGAGCCAAAGGACTGGAAAAGTCAAGGGGCCAAGACTCTGTCACACCAGAAGGAGAGGAAATTGGGTCAGAGACTGGATATGAAGTAAGGGGTTCAGGAGGTGGAAAAGTTTAGGGCCTGATGGGGGAGGCATGAGGAGAAAGTCATTGGAGAATATGAGGTCAAGAGATTAAGAGTCAGGGCACTGGTCATCTGCGTGAACAGGAAACCCATCCAGGATGTGAGCAGGAATGGTGGTTATGGTATGAAAGCCATGGAGCCAGGGGCTAAAGTTCGAAGAGAGTGAGGAAGAGCAAGTGAGCAGGAGAGGAAAAGATAAGAAGCTTCAGGCAGGGGAGAGGCAGTATGTCTGGGCAGCAGGCTCCCCAAAGGAACAAGAGCGTTTGCCAGAGGTGGAGGAGAAGTGATCAGGTAGAGGAACAATTAGCCAGGGTTGGGAAAGTCTGGGAGGCTTCCTGGAGAAGGTGGAGTGGAAGGCACCCAGACTGCTCATTTAACCCAAGGGGCACATTTAAGAATATGCCTATTCCTTTGTGGCTGCAAAGACTGGGACTAGGGGGACATAGTCAGCAGACTCATCTCGCAGTGCTTCAAGGAAAGAAAAGAAGATGGGAAATTCATTCTGAGCAAAGGTGAAGGACGGATGGACAGACAGACAGATGCACAAGTGGATGAACTGACCTTCGATTGAGTTTGCTTGTTGAAATCTGCAAGTCCAGGGGAGCATGTGAAAGGATTTGGAAGGGGGTAGGTGAATAGAGGGGTAGGTCAGGTGCCAGGAGGAGCAGAGCATGGTGGGACGACAGAGAATCTGTAAGGGAATAACAAAAAACAAATGAGTGGCCTCAGTTCTGTGGCCTGGTTTTGCCTCAGTTGCCTCTTTATGAAGCCTGACCCACCAGCTCTACAAACCAGGGCCATGTGCCTCTTGCTTTCTTTTCCTTCCCAAGATTTCCATCAAGGAAGGGCATGTGGAAGCTTCCTTCTCCCCTCCTCCTCTTTTCCACTGGGGGCTTTGTTGTCACCAAATGAGCCCCTGTGGGCCCTGTGTGACCAGGCACTAGGAATCCCAGGTTTATCCTACCTCTGCTGCCCATCTTCCCTCTTCTCAAACAGGTTGTTGACCTCCAGTCTCAGTTTCATTGTCTGTAAGATAGGCCACCTCCTGGCGCTAC